TTAGAGGGGTGGGAAAATATTATGAGGCAGGATCCTTAAAACCAGGAGAAAAATGGAAGAACCTGGCTTTAGATAAGTAGGACCCTCTCTCCTGATAGCAGTTTCCCCATTCCACTGCAATCCCCGCGAGACAGACTGTCTGACAATTGCTCTGGCAAGACTCATTCTACTTGTCACCAAGTAGAATGAGTCTATCGGCACAGTAGTTTGCTGTGTTCATTAATTATGGGATAAAGTCAAGAAAAATCCTCCAATGCAGAAGTCAACACTAATTTCAGTGACTGCAATCCTTAAATATCCAAAGACCTTCCAAGGAAGCAAGAGGAATAAAATTTCAAAGCAAAAAATATAATTTTGTTACCACCATTTGTAAATGAAAAAATAGAATACAGTTTGGGGGAAATGTTCGCTCATAGTAAACCAAAAGCACAATATTTGCTCCCCTCAAAGCTCCCCCAAACTTATCAGTAAAATTCTATTAAAACAAGCAAGCAAAAATGCATTCTTATTTCAATTTCTATTTCAGTGCAAAATACAGCTCTGAAAACGGCAGTTTCATCTAGTTCAACCTTTCCAAGACCATTCATAGTTAAACATCAATGAACTATAGTATTTGGAGGATGCTGTTTAATTGAATTTTCAGGTTAATGAAGGGCTAGGCAAAAATATTTTTTCTTTTCTGGTTCTGGTAGGAATCAATATAAGATATTGATGGAATGAAGATGATGGTGTCCTAGAGACCCAGGAACTTAGGTCCGTAGGCAATTTCTAGGGAAGTCATATGCAAAAGAAATTTTGACTAAAGGAAACAAATACTACCTCATTGTCAGCTGTGCTTGTTCCTAGGCCCTTAGGCAGGGCTCTCTGATAGAGTTCTCTGGAGCCCATATCTCATCTCAGGACTTGTGAGTCCTGTCCCCGCCTATGCACCTAAACCCAAATCTCATGATTAGGACATCACAGGACAAAAGAGCAGAGGGAAGAACATTCACAAAGAGAAGAGAGTGCAAAATAACCTTGCTTAATATCCCAGGTGGGAGATGAGCTTTGCCCAGTCCAGCCTCATGAAAAGAGAAGCAGATTTTACCTCTTAATTATCAAGATGCTTCACAGCAAAAAAAGTGTTTCACTTCATGGATAATTTTGTCTTTCATTAATTGAAACTTTGCTCTATATAGATGACAAGTGCCATGTCACTTCTCTATGTCTTTACCAGGTTCAGGGAGTGTAACACCACCACCATTACTATCATCACCATCAGTATAAACAAGTATTTTCCAGCACAGTTGGTTACACAATAGATTAGCATACCCATGCTTACCATAGGGAAATGTAAAAGAAAAGGACAGTTCAGAGGTGATTTAAAGAGATCTAAACCATCCAAAACATATTCCTAAATACCCTTCAAAATTCTAAGAAGAGGAGCAAAATAATTTAATTCTAAAGTAAATACTTTTTATAATTAGCGCATTGCCCTTTGATTTAAATTGTACTCAAATACATTTTTATGTATTTCATGGATAATTGAGGCACTTATATAAACAATGGGTGTGGAACATATATGCATTTAAAACTTGTCATTTCACATTTTTTGCAATTTAATAGTAGTAAGAGATCCTGATCTCATTATCTTATGATTTTGCAGTTCGTATCTTGAATTTGGTGACAATGAAAGGTCATCCCTGAGATATTTGAAGCTGTGGCCTTGTTCAGGAATACAACTTCCAAATATAACACTGTTTCAAGGGGAATGTGTTGTCCATTACATAACGATGCACTCAATGATCCGGTTTCCAGGAATACATTTTGACGAAAAGTGAGGACTGAATTTCTATTAATGAAACTTCTGCCTCCCTGCTTTAATCACTTATATGCCTTCCTTGAATCAGGTATAGAAAGCAGTTGGTGAGTTTATTGATTATGGTAAAGAGTGACCATAGGGAGCTTCATTGTTCCTTCATGGAAGACTGCTGGGAAAGAGGGACGTTTTTCCAACCTTCAGTTCACAGGGCAAAAAGACCCATGCATGAAGTGCCCACAGCACTTAGAGACCAGACAGAACAGTACCCACCAACCACAAAAACCGGTTTTCATTCTCCAGCCTCCTAAGGGGCCAGAAATTTGTCTTCAAAGAAAGTTGGAAGGCCTTGTTTGTCCAGATCTGGTCGCAAAACTCAGTTAGGTTCTGTTCTGAGACTCTGTCTGACTCTACAGGCTCAGGAGCTTGGCTTGCATTATGGTGAGATAGATCACAGGCCACCCTCTCTGATCCCAGTGAATCACCCTCCCAGAATTTTCCCCAGGAGACCAACAGGTAGGGTATGGGAGTGCAGAGGATGGATCTGTGTAAAATCATCACCATTTCCAGAAGAAGAGTCCCAAGCATGTATTTGGGTCAAATATAAACTTGGGCATATCCAGCAAGTCTATCACATGACATTGGACTTAGGAAAAATAAATCAAATACCTGCTTGCTTAATCTTTTCATGATTAGCCATCCAAGACAACTTGCATGGATGCAGAACACATATGAAAAAGCACATGCATAAGGAAAAGCCACAAAGAAACAAAAAGCAGTAATGTCAGAAACAAAAATAACATGGCATTTTGTTTCCCACTGAATTAGTCAGAACTCTATCAGTTGTTGGTGACTGACAGAAACGCAACTCAAACTAGCTGCAACCAAAAAGAGAATCTATCGGTTCAAAAACTTGGAAATTCAAGGGTTGTCATGCCTCAGGTACTGCTGCATCTGGGTGCTCAAGTGATGTCGACATCATGACTTTCCTCTATCACATCTCTTGGCTCTGGTGGTTCTCTGTTGGCTTCACTGATCTCCCCACAAGTTCCCAAAGAATCTGTAGTTCCAGGCTTGTTTGTGTTGCCTCCAGTCTTCAAAGGGAAAAAGACCCTTTCCCCTAAGAGTTTCAGTACAAGTCCTTGGTTGACACTTATCAGCTCAGCTTGAGTTGAGTGACCATCTGGAGGCTTTTCACTACACCCAAGGGATGGAATATGCTTATGAGACCTACCCCTGGTCAAGAGGTGTGGGCAGCCCCACCTGAACAACAACTGATCAAAAGTGGGAAAGGGGAAAGTTCCCCAAAGGTAAAATAAGGAAAAATGATGATAAAGTAAGAGAAAAGGGTGTTTGACAGACAAAAAGCAGATACTCACTTTAGCCACCAACACTCAGATGGTGTAGATTAGCCATGGAAATGTCTCGGTGCCCTCTTGGGAATTTTTTCTTGAGTTCAAGGAGCCAACACTATTTCAACCAGAAAACTCAATGTGCACCGTTAACTTCTTCAGCAACGACTGAGCATCTCCCCCGAGCTGGATCCCAGGGGTGCAATGGCAAGAAATATATATACAGGATGGATATGTATTGAGAGAAAGGACGGGGGTGATAGAGCAACTGATGTTTGTCAAGTGTTCATTCCATGGCAGACACTGTGATAAACTTGTTTACATATTTTAAAGGAAGTCACAGAGCACAGAGAAAAAAATCCCAGCCCTGACTTGAGGGAGCAGGGAGTGCTTTTAGAGGAAAATGAAACTGAAGTCAAGGTTTAAAAAAATGAGTGAGAGTTTAACAAGTCAAAGGGAGAAGTTGGGTAGTTCGAGGAAAGCAAACAGCGCAAGCAATGTCCCCAAATCAAGAAACAGTATAGTATTTTAGAGGAACAGAAAGACTTGTCCAAAACCTAATGGTCTATTAATATAAATATCCTCAACAGCAAAGACTTTTCTTATGCAACTAGCCATGTGATCTTAAACAGGTTACTTGAATCCTCCGGGTCTCCTTCGCAGTGTTGTTATAAGGATCAAATGTAATAACGTGTGCGAAATACTTAGTAAATTTAAAGTCGTCTACAACTGTAAGGCACATGTCGGGAACTGAAAGTACATAGATTCGTAAAATCCTAAGTGATTAAGGAAAGATGACTAGCTCTGTAGAACTGGGCCTCTCAAGGAAAACACACTTGAGCGTTCTGATGTCTGTTTGGCCACCAAGACCTCCTTGTACTCGTGGGGAGAGGTTAAATTATAGTCCTTAGACAGGAGAGACAGCAGTCATGTGTCCTTTGCATCAGGGATCAGAAATTTAATAAGAGGGATTGGGCAGTGTGGAAGAGTTTGCTCTCTAGGAAAACAATGGCAGTGTTCAAAGAATGTGGGTACAATGCACTGTTATAAAAGCATCTTTGGCAGGCGAGAGAGATCTTGGGATTTTGAAAGGAAAGGAAGAAAAAGCTTGCATGCTAATGTTCTAAGAATATAATCTACCAAAAATAATGGACATGTTTGAAAGATACCTGAGAGGAGAAAAAAAAATACAGGGCATGAAGTAAAAATGGAAGATTACAAATTATGAATCTATGAGACGTCGTCAAAACCATTTGGGGGACTCACACTCTTAAAACATCAAAATAAGGTATGTTTAAATTGTAACCCAGGCCAGAGAGTCATGAATAACCAGTTTGTCTTGGAGAAATCTGGAATTATAAACAAAAGCATACAAAGCATTGTCCAAGGTAAATATTGACATAACTGAAGAGGAACTAGAAAAACTTTTAATGAAGCCAAAAATACTGCATCTGGGGAAGATGTTTCACATTCTTATGAAAAAACACTTGGGTACAAGAAGCCTAGGGATGAGGGGTAGGAAGGGTGTCCATTAGGTTGAAAAATAGGATCGAGAACAAAGACGTTCTCAAGTTTAAAACAGTAATACTATAAAAACATGAATATTAATTTTTAAGACCATGTTATTTCTTAAAATAAAAAGCAATTCTCCCTGCCAAACACCTATCTGCCCACAAGTATGAGGGGATTAGTACTCATATCCTGGAAAAGCTATCCCTTTGGTACTGTGGCAAATGCACAGTGGTTTCTGCCTCCATTCCCAGCTGCCCAGGAGTGAAGTGGTGCGGAAGCCACGCCCCGCCAGCTGGGTCGCTAGGAGCCCCACACCCTCTGCCCCTGCAGTGACAAACCTTATGTGCTGAGGCCACCCTCAGCCCCATCAAGGACAGCCAGGGAAGGACTTCACTCATTCCTCCAGGTTCACATCCTGCTCCCTCCCAGAAGGATGTTCAGGTGGAGTAACCTGAAACTTAGAATAAACAGAAGCCCATTATTGCTGCTTAGTGGGAGCCAGTGAAGGATCTTGTCAGCAGAAAAGTGCCATGGCAACCAGCTCTTCAAAGCGTTTTTTTAAAACTACAAGTTGAATTTCATCTGGAAACATCCCAATTACCCAATTAAACTAAGCTGCAAAGTCTTTTTAGAATAAGCTCAGATCATAAGTGAGTGAGTAGCTCAAACCCAAACCATTGCTTTCTGATACCCAGAAAATGCAAGTTTGTTGGTACTGTGTTCTCGTAGAAAGACAGGTTTTTATTAGCAGGAGGAATGAAACCAGCCTGCATTTGCACAAAGTCTCGGTGCTAACGTACCATATGATTGTATTCCGTTGGGAGCCACGAGAGCCTTGTTTTATCTTTCCCACTTAACAGATGGGAAAACTAAGGAGCTATAAGTAGACTCATCCCTGGGGGACAAAGAAAAGAGGCCACGGTGGGGCAAATTTGGATTTCTCTTGCATTTATGCACATTAGTGTATAGCTCCACGGAGTTGGAGAAATCAGGCTTTGAGCCCTGTAGATTTCACCTCTGAAATGTCTCATCCCTTAGTACCCTCTCTACCCTATCCCCACTGTGTGGGTCAGATTTTGAGTGTTCACCGCCCAGGCAGTTGTGCTCTTCTCCTACTGCTGCTGGGCACGTCTATGGCAGCACAGGACAAACCACAGGCTCCCCATATGCTGAAAAATTCAAAGCCTCATTGTCTCTTATGGGCCCAAATATATCCCCCCAAAATCTATATACTGACATCCTAGCCCCCAGTACCTCCGAATGTGACTGGATTTGTAGATAGGGCTTTTGAAGAGGTTATTAAGGTAAAATGAGGTCACATGGTGGGCCCTAATCCATTAGGACTGGTATCCTTTTAAGGAGAAGATATAAGTACACAGAGAACATACCAACCAAGCCACAGCCATCTGAGGACACAGCGAAAAGGTGGCCATCTGCAAGCCCAGGAGACATGCTTCAGGAGAAATCAACCCTACCGACACCTTCATCCTGGACTTCCAGCCTCTAGAACAGTGAGAATAAATATCTGTTGTTTAAGCACCCGGTCTGTGGCGCTAATCCTGTTATGGTGGCCCTAGCAGACTCATGCACTGCTCTAAGCATGGCAGTCAAGGTCTCCTCACTGTATGTCATGGATTAATAGAATTGTCCGCTGCACCCTCACCCACCACAAATCTGGTGCTCGAGCCATACCATGAACTATCAACGCTCTATTAATTTCCTGAGATATTCTCCATCAGACTAAAATTAACTTCTGTACCTTTGCTTCCCATCAAAGTCTTCCTAATGCCTCAAGGCCCGTCCAGGGTAGCCAATGCACACAAAGTGTTCCCCAATCCCTTGCAGGTGTACCCCTGAGACTTGAGTGACACTTTCCATGTGGCTGGCTGTGCAAAAGCATTCCCTGTGCATGGTCTCGCTGCCGATCCTGTTTCATAGTTAGTAGGTGGCAACCTCACCCGTGATCCCTCTTCAGGGTGATGTTCCTTCTGTGCTCCCGCTGCACTTGGAACCTCAAGGGGAGCATGTCTATTTCACTCTGTTTTCTTTGAAAGTTGAGAGGCAGTAAGTATAGTAGTAAGTTTCTTTCTGCCTCAGCTTCCCTATCTGTGAAATGGGGATAATAATTGATTATAGACCATACTTTCGTTTTATAAGAACTACATGACTTACTCTGTTAGAAGAAAACACTTGAAACTATGCCTCACACATAGCAAGTACTTAATGGATGCTAGATATTAATGGATCAGAGACTACTGTTCCCTAAACAAGAATGTGAGCTCCTCTGTCCAGGTTATCTTGGTGTCCCCAAAACCTGGGAGCCTAATGTAGTTCTCTGTGTAAGTCGGGCACTAGGTATACAGCTATTTAAATACTAATTGAATATATCATTTGTAACAGATATCACATCCTGATCACCCTCTTCCCATCACAGTTAAAATAAAACCAAAGTGTGTCCTGGTGTACCAACCATTCTCTGCCCTGGCATCTGTCTACCTGCTTGACCTCCTTTCTTCCTTTCTCTCCCTGCCTCTATTCACTCCACCACACTGTGACCACCTTGCTTTTAAACACGCCTCCCAGACTCCTGTCTCAGAGATTTTGCTGTAATCTCTTCCTTACTCTGCTGTAGTTCTCTTAGTACTTGACAGTTTCTTACTTATTATCTGTGCATTTCTTTTCTATCTCCATTAGCAAGAGAGTTCAAACAAAGCAGGGACTTTGTTTGAATTACCACTGTATTCCTTATGCCCACAATAGTGAACCAGCATACACAGGCATTCAATAAATATTTATTTCCTGGTTGAATGCATAAATGAATGAACAATTGAATCTCCAAACCCCACAGCAATGCTGAAAGGTAGGTTTTACCTGCCCATTTTACAGAGAAGAAAAACTGAGGCCTAGCAACATTAAATAATTTTCCCACAGGCACATATTTAGCAAGGGACAGACCTTGTATAGTATCCATGTCTCTCCCATTCCAAAATGCTTTCCACAATACCAGGTTCTCCTAATCTTATGGCATTTGTGTGACACTTTCAAGAGTTTTGCCACCTTCCACATAAACATCAGAACTCATATTTACCTAACCTTTGCAGTCATTTATATATTAATAATATGCAAATAAGTATATATTACAGATGTACCTTCAAGTGTAATTATATATATATATACACACACACACCTTTAACTCATTTGCATATTATGCAAATAATTTTCTTTTGAAAGAAAAGCAATAATTTCCACGGAATATATCACACTGAAATAGATATGTATTCATTATAATTCAAATTATTCGTCAGTATATTTTGAAGCAGGGCTATGGCTCCTGCATCTGAAAACACTGATCCGCGCCCACCTGGTTTCTTCACACCCCTGGGTGGGTCTTGAACGCAGCCACTCCAGGCACCAGAATCCTCTGCATCCTACCGCGCCCTCCTCCCAACTCCCCCTTGTTCCTGCAGTTTCCTGCTAACAAGTCCTTGTGCTCTTTCGTGGGACGTGTCCCAAGGAAGGAAGGCCCGGGAAGAGGTCTGGGATGCCTTGGAAGCCCCACCCCGAGCACGCACCCCGGGTCGGGAGCCCCCGCCTGAGCCCGGGAACGACACTGCCGCCCCAGCTGCAAGCGAAAAGCAAGATGCAGGGGACAGAAATTAATTGAAAACTGGAGGCTGTCAAGCCACACTGAGGAAAACCTCTCCCTGAGTTAAAGATCAGGGACATAATCAAGGAAAGTGGCTTCTATAAAAGCTTGATTGGTTGATCGAAATCTCCAGTCATCCCGAAAATAATTGCCTGGAAGAAAGCACGGAGTGACCTGCCTGCCTGGAAAAGGCGCAGCCGCCGCTGACAACGCCAGGCGCCCCCGCCCGTCCCCCTGCCGGCCCGGGCGGTGATGAACTGAATCTGCTTAAGGAAGTACATTGCCTCATTATTTTCTGCTCCGACATACACGCCTAGTCCTTGTGGATGCTGACTGCCGACAACACAGGGGACGCGCCTGTGCGCTTTGTCTCTGTAGCTTTATTCGTTTCCATGTCAGCGTGTTAGGAATATTCCGCCTGTCTCCTCCTGGCGAAGCCTGGTAACGAGGACCGCGGGCCCTGCTGTCTGTCGCAAAGCTCCCGGAAGCAGGGCTGGGGCAGGGGCAGGGCTCCCCCAAAATAAGTCCTTCCCCACGGGGCTGCCCCATCCTTGTCTACTCCCCGGCACCACAGGGGTCCATCAAAAATGCAAATGCGATCACATGTCTCTTCCAGCTCCAACTCGTCAGCATCTCTCCATTGCCTGCATAAGAAAGCCCATCTTCCTTAACGTGATTTTTCCAGGCCTTTCCAGGTCCTCTGGTCCCCCCACGTGCCGCTGCTAAGCTCCTCTCTCAAATCTTCCCTGTATCGACTCAAAGCCTTCCATGTTCTGGTACATCCTTGGGCCTGCACTACCAGGTTCCCACTGCCTAAAAGGACCTTCTACCTCTTCTTCTCACATCCTTGTCTGCCTTGGAAATTCTTTTTTGTCCCTTAAGATCCTGCTCTGTGAAGCCTTCTCTCACCAGCCCCAGCGCCGAAGTCAACTGACGTGTAAAAGAAGGGTGTCCAGACTCCTAGGGAATCTCCCTGCCCAATGCCAGCTCATACTTCATCTCACCTCCTCAAGGAAGTCTTCCCTGATTTTGTTTTTCCTTAGCCCACACAGATCTCTGACTTTCCTGAATGTCTATGTTATTTAAATCTGCACCACACATCTAAACTCTTTTTTTCTTCCTTTTTCCACTCCACCAAAGATTTGAAGAAATGTCAAAATTCTGACCAAGTCATCCTCTTCTAAGAATCTATCCTAAAGAAATACTTAAAAAGCTGATGAAAGATTTATGAACAGAGATCTTCATTGCATCATTTTTGATAAAAACAACAACAAAAAAAGAAACAACCTACATGTGCCACAGGAGGGAAGCGATTATATAACATGTATCTATGTGATCATTAGAAATATTTTGCATAACATTTTAGGACATGGAAATAATTCCTGTGAAATGAGGTTATGTTAAAAACCAAAATCTAAAATTGTGTGCAAAATGTGATCCCAGATTTATAAAAGAATATATATACGTGTGTGTGTGCATAGGTTTGATCCTGTGGTCTTGGGAACGTTACTCATCTATGATTTACTCTGCTTTGCTCATCTATTAAATTGTATAATAATAGTACCTTTAATGTATGGTTATTGTTGTGATTAAATTAGTTAATATATGTAGAGTGTGTGGAATTACACCTGGCACATAAGTGCTATAGAAGGGTGGGTCATCTTTGCTATTATACACTAAAAATATACTTCAGGGAACCAAAACATTACCCTTACCAGGTGGTGGGACAAGTGATTTTTCTTGTTGTCTTTACATTTTTCTATTTGTTTTCATTATTATTTTTCAAATTGCCTAAAATAAGCACATATCACTTTTTTGATCTAAAAAAATACATGATGTCTCTAAAGAAGTAATGCATCATTCAAAATCTATTTTATTCTTGATTCCCAGCATCAAAGCGTGGACTTTGGGGATTTTTGTTGTTGTTGTTTTAGGAATTTTTTTTTTTTGAGAGATTGTCTGACCAGCCAACCCACATAACCTAAGTTTCTATTCCCAAGAAACACAACAAAAACCCTGGAGAGAAAAGGTGGTTACAAATATCTAGCTAATGGGAACATGAACATTGGAACTGACAAGAAAGTGGTACTATGTCTCTTTAGGCAAGTTGCAAATTTTCCTTAATACTCAGTTTCCTCATCTGCAAAAATGGGGAAAATAATTTCTACTTCCTAAGATAGCTTAAGAAACAAATAAAATTGAGTAGGGCCTGGCACATAGTAGGGACTCATGAAATGTTAGCACTTAGTCATGATCAAAACTCAGAAGGGAGCTTCCCAGCTGGTGCATGTGTAATGGAAGGAATAGCTTTGGAGCCAGACTAACTTGAATTTGAACCAAGGGTCCGACCTTACTTGCAATGTGCTATTCAAGATCAAAGGGGGGGAGAGGGCGGAGCAAGGTATCTGAAGAGAAACCTCCAGTGAATTCAACAACTACCCACCCAAGCAAGGACCTTCAAAAAAACCAAACATCAGGTGAGCAATCAGACTACCTGGTTTTAGTATTATATCAAGGAAAGAGGCACGGAAGAGGGCAGAAAAGACGGTCTTGCATTGCCTATGCCACACCTTCTCCATCCCCTGGCAGTGCTCTGCCAGAATGCCACGCAGAGAGAGAATCTGTGTTCTCTGGGCAGGGAGAGTAAAGTGATTGTGGGGCTGTGCACTGAAACTCAGGGCCACCCTGGTACAGAGGATTATAGCACAGGGAAGAATTCTGCTAGTGCCCACGGAGGGAGCATTTAGACCAGCCCTGTCAGAAAAAAATATTCTACTTCAAAACCCCAAATTCTGGCTAGCCCCATCATCGGCTGACATAAAGCAGCTTGAGGCCTGGACTAAATTCGTAAGACAGTCAGGCCACAAAGGCTGCGTGCAGTCCTTGGGCAATTCCTGTGACTGTGCTGGCTCGGAGCCAGTGGATTTAGGGTGCACGTGACCCAGTGAGACACCAGCACCTGCAGCCAATCCAGTGCCTATGTCACCCCTCCCCCAGTTATAGGCAGTGTGGCTCAGGGAGAGTCTTCTTTCACTTGGGGAAAAGAAAAGGAAGAGTTCAGAGGACTTTGTTTTGCAATTTGGGTACCAGCTCAGCCACAGTAAAACTACCAAATGGACTCCTAAAGTCCTGGAGTGCAGCCTTAGTTCCTGATGACATTTCTGGACCCACCCTGAGGCACAAGGAAACTGCTACCTTGAAGGGAAGGACCCAGTCCTGGCAGGATTCACCGCCTGCTGAATAAAGAACCCTTGGGCTTTGAATAAACATCAGAGGTAGCCAGGCAACAGTCACCATGGGCTTTGAGTGAGACTGGTCTGGCTTCACATGTGACCCAGCACTGCTCCTCCCTCAACTCCAGCAGTCCAGCAAAGAGAGTGAGGAAAAAGAGTGAGGGGCTTTGCCTTATAATCCAAGGGATTTGCCCATATCTTACCCAAGTCTACCAAGGCAGTACCACCAGCAGTCTGCAAAAGTAAAAACATTACTGGGCTTGGGGCCACCCCAGTGATGATACAGCTGCAGTGACCAAAGACTTAGACCACAACACTCAATTTGCCTCGAATGTCTGCAAAGCCTTCTTAAGAAGGACAGGTTAAAACAAGCCTAGAATATGAAGACTAAAATAAATATCTAACTCTGCTGCCCAGACATCAATGAACATCAATGAGCATCAAGAACACCCCGGAAGACATGACTTCACCAAATGAACTACATAAGGTACCATTGACAAATCCTGGACTGATGGAGATAGATGACCTTTCAGACAAAGAATTCAAAATAGCTGTCCTAAAGAAGCTCAATGAGCTTCAAGATAGCGCAGAGAAGAAATTCAGAAGCCTATCAGAGAAATTTAACAAAGAGATTGAAACAAGAACAAAAACAAACCAAGCAGAAATTCTAAAGCTTAAGAATTTCTTTAACAAACTGAGAAATGAATCAGAGTCTCTCAACAGCAGAATTGACCAAGCAAAAGAAAGAATTAGTGAGCTTGAAGACAGGCTATTTGAAAATACACAGTCTGAAGAGGAAAAAGAATAAGTAAGAGTGAAGCGTGCCTACAAGATCTAGAAAATAGTCTCAAAAGAGCAAATCTAAGCATTAGTAGTCTTAAAGAGGAGGTGGAAAGAGAGATTAGGGTAGAAATTTTATTCAAAGAAAAAATAACAGAGAACTTTTCAAACCTAGAGAAAGATATCTTGTACCTGAATATTGATATATTCAGGTACAAGAAGATCATAGAACACCAAGCAGATTTAACCCAAACAAGACTACCTCAAGGTATTTAATAATCAAATTACCAAAAGTCACAGATAAGGAAAAGGTCCTAAGGAAACCAAGAAAAAAGAAAAAAATAACATAAAAAGGAGCTCCAATACATCTGGCAACAGAATTCTCATTGGAAACCCTACAGGCCAGGAGAGAGTGGCACGACACATGACATATTCAAAGTACTGAAGGAAAAAACATTAATCCTACAATATTACACCCTCAGAAATATCTTTCAAACATGAAGGAGAAATAAAGACTTTCCCAAACAGAAGCTGAGATATTTAATCAACATCAGACCTTTTCAAGAAATGACAGGAAATGCTAAAAGGAGTTCTTCAGTGTGAAAGAAAAGGACATTGATAAACAATAAGAAATCATTTGAACGTATATAACTCACTGGTAACAGTAAGGACACAAATACAGAATATTCTATTGCTATAATTGCAGTATATAAACTGCTTATATCTTGAGTAGGAAGACTAAGAGACAAAACTATCAAAAATAACAACAATTTTTGAGAGATAGATACTATAAAAAGATATAGAAGATAGAGGTGATATAGAAGATGGAAACAACAAAAAGTTAAAAAGCAAGAGGAAAGATGGAGTTAAAGGATAGTATTTCTGTTAGAATTCCTTTTGCTTGTTTGTTTGTAAACAGAGTTGCCATATGTTTAAAATAATTTATTATAAATGTTTTTTGCAAGCCTCATGTTGACCTTAAATCAAAAAACCTACAACAGATGCACAAAAAATAAAAAGCACAAAACTAAAACACACTGTCAGAGAAATTCACTTTTAACAAAGGAAGACAGGAAGGAAGGAAGGAAGGAAGGAAGGAAGGAAGGAAGGAAGGAAGGAAGGAAGGAAGGAAGGAAGGAAGGAAGGAAGGAAGGAAGGAAGGAAACCACAAAACAACTAGAAATTAAATAACAACCTGGCACTAGTAAGTCTTTACCGTTCAATAACAACATTGAATATGAACAAACTAAACTTTCCAATCAAAGGACATAGAGTTGCTAAATGGATAAAGAAAAAAAAAAAAAAAACAAGAACCAACCATATATTGTCTGCAAGAGATCCACTTCACCAATAAAAACACACATAGACTGAAAATAAAAGCATAGAAAAAGATATTCCATTCAAATGGAAATCAAGAAAGAACAGGAATGGCTCTACTTCCATTAGATAAAATAGATTTCAAGACAAAAACTATAAAAAGAGACAAAGAATTTCATTATATAATGATAAAGAGGTCAATTTAGCAAAAGGATATAATAATTCTAAATATATCTGCACCCAACACTGGAGTACCCAGATATATAAAGCAGATATTATCAGAGCTAAAGAGATAGCCAGACTCCAATACAATAATTTTTGGAGACCTCAACACTTCACTTTGGGCACTGGATAGATTATCCATGCAGAAAATCAGCAAAGAAACATTAGACTTAATCTGCACTATAGACCAAATGGACCTAATATTTACAAAATGTTTCATCTAGCATCCAGAATAATCAAGATTATTCATCATGATCAAGTGGGATTAACTCCAGGGATGCAAAGATGGTTCAACATATGCAAATCAATCAATATGATATATCATATCAACAGAATGAAGAATAAATGCACGTTCTTCTCCTCAGTTCATGGATCACTCTCAAGGATAGACCATATGTTAGGTAACAAAACAAGTCTCAAAAAATTCAAAAACATTGAAATCATGCCAATTAAATACTTTTGTAGACCATAATGGAATAAAACTAGATATCACTAACAACAAGAACATTGGGGAAAAACGGAAAACTTTCCTCTAAGATCTCGAACAAGACAAGGATGCTCACTTTCACCACTGTTATTCAACACAATACTGGACAATCTAGCTACAGCAATAGAACAAGAGAAAGAAATAAAAGGCATCCAATTTGGAAAGGAAGAAGTCAAATTATCATTATTTGCTGATGATATGGTCTTATACCTAAAGAAACACACACACACACACACACACACAAAAAAAAAAAAAAAAAAACTATTAGAACTGCTAAACAAATTCCACAAAGTTGCAGAACACAAAATCTACATATAAAAATCAGTAGTAGTTCTATATACCAACAGTAAACACTCTGACCAAGAAAGTCATCCCATATATAATAGCCACAAATAAAATAAAATACCTAGGAATAAACATAACCAAAGAAGTGAAAGATCTCTATAATGAAAACTATAAAAAGAAATTGAAGAGTACAGAAAAAAATGAAAATATAGTCCATGCCCATGGATTGGAAGACCCAAAATTGTTAAAATGTCCATACTACCAAAGAAATCTACAGATTCAATGAAATTCCCATCAAAATACCAAAGACAGTCTTCACAGAAATAGAAATAATCCTAAAATGTATATGGAATCACTAAAGACCCAGAGAATAGCGCAAGCTATCCTGAGCAAAAAAGAACAAGGCTAGAGGAATCACATTACCTGACTTCAAATTATACTACAGAGTGATAGTAACCAAAACAGCATGAAACTGTCATAAAAACAAACATATAAACCAATGGAACAGAACAGAGAACCCAGAAATAAATCCACACATCTATAGTGAAATTATAACTGACAAAGGAGTCAAGAAAATACAGTAGGGAAAGGACAGTCTCTTCAATTAATAGTACTAGGAAAGCTAGATAGGCATATGTACAAGAATGAAACTAGACCCTTATCTCTCACCATATACAAAAGTCAAGTCAAAATAGTTAAAATGACTTAAATCTAAGACCTGAAACTATGAAACTACTAAAAGAAAACATTGGGGAAATTCTTCAGGACATTGGTCTGGGCAAAGACTTCTTGATTAATATGCCCAAAGCACAGGCAACAAAAGTAAAATTAGACAAATGGCGTCATATCAAACGAAAAAGCTTCTCACAGCAAAGGAAACAATCAACAAAGGGAAGAGACAACCCACTGAATGGGAGAAAATATTTGCAAACTACCCTTCTGACAAGGGATTAATAACCAGAGCATATAAGGAGAGCCAACAACTCAATAGGAAAAAAATCAAAAAATCCAATTAAAAATGGGCAAATGATCTGAATAGACATTTCTCAAAAGAAGACATACAAATGGCCAACAGGTATATGAAAAAATGCCCACCATCATTAGTCATCAGAAAAATGCAAATCAAAACTACAATGGGATATCATCTCATCCCAGTTAAAATGTCTTTTATCAAACAGACAGGCAATAACCAATGCTGACAAGGATGTGGAGAAAGGGGAACCCTCATACACTGTTGGTGAGAATGTAAATTAGTGCAACCACTATGGAGAACAGTATGGAGGTTGCTCAAAAAACTAAAAGTAGAACTACCATATGACCCAACAATCCCACTGCTGGCTATATATCAAAGGATTGAAAAGATACCTGCACTCTCATGTTTATTGCAGCATTATTCACAATGGCCAAGATATAGAATCAACCTATGTGTCCACCTAAGATGAATGGATAAAGAAATTGTGGTACATATATACAATGGAATATTATACAGCCACAAAAATGAAATCCTGCCATTTGCAACAACATGGATGGAACTGGAGAATATTATGTTAAGTGGAATAAGCCAATCATAGAAAGATAAATCTTGCATGTCCTCACTCATACATGGGAGCTAAATATTTAAAAATATATATCTCATGGAGACAGAGAGTAGAATGATGGTTATTAGAGGCTGGGAAGTGTAGTGGGGTGGGGTGAATAAAGTGGGGATGGTTAATGGGTGCAAAAATATAGTTAGATAAAATGAACAATATTTGATAGCACAACAAAGTGAATATAATCAACAATAAGTTAGGGTATACCTTCAAAATAACTAAAAGAGTGGAATTGGAATGTTCTTATCACAAAGAATTGTTAAATGCCTGAGGTGATGGATACCCTAATTTCATTAATTCACATTGGATGCCTT